CCAGCAGATCCCCTCCAACGCCTCCCGCGTCTCCACACAGAAAACTGCGTTCTCCCCTTCCATCACGTCCAGCTTCCGCGGCAGCCGCTTCGTGATCACCCCTACGAGAAGAGATGAGGGCTGGGGAGGGTGCTGGGCTCCCAAGACGGGAGAGAGAAGAAGGTCAAGGAGGGACCACGGCCAGTAGGCATCATGGCCAAACAGTGGGAGGGGAGATGCTGGGTGTGGTGGGAAGAATGGATGGGGACAGGAAGGAAAAGCCATACTGCTGGGGACCCGCTTCCCACCTCGGACGGAGACCTCAGCGATGCTGCGCCCCTTGTCCTTCATCTGGCAGAGGTAGATGCCGTCGTCGTCGGTGCGGGCGTCACGGATGGTCAGGCGCCGCACCACACCTCGCTCCTCCATCACGTACTTGTGGCTGGGCTGCAGCTCCCTGTCCTCCAGGTACCAGGCGGTGGGGATGGTCTCCAGAGGCACCTGGCACTCCAGCACAGCGTCCTCCCGCTCCGCCACCTCCACGTCCATCAGCTGCACCTGGAACCGCAGCCGGTGCTCTGCCACCGGCAGAGACGGGCACTGGGTGAGGGATGCGTGGGGCACAGCACCCACTGGCAGCCCTCGGGGCTCTCCCAGCTCATGAAAAGTTGGCACTTGACCCTTCTCTGCCACTCTGCCACTCTTCAGCCCCTGTGGGATGGGCAATACCCCCAGGAGGCACATTCCCCAGAGTTGGGGGAACCAGGGCATGGGCTGGGGACACCCAGCAATGCCCCCAGCATCTCAGCAGGGAGTTTTGGGGGATGCAGGAACATGCACACCTGCACCCTGTGGAAGGCATCCTAGTGGAGGGGAGCAGCAGGGTGCCGGCGGGGGATGCAGTGGGTGCTGGGTCACCCCAGCCACGGGCTGTCCCCAGCTGGCAGGGCGGCTCTGGGGGACGGGGCTGCCACCAGTGCAGACACTTGGAACTGTGCCCTGCAGGGCTGCCCGCCAAAACCACTCGGCACTCGAGGGGAATTTCTCACCAAGGCACTGTCCCCCCTCCCTGCTGCTGGCTGGACACCCACAGCTCTCCAGAGACACCACCTCTCTGCTTGTGAGGAGAGAGGGGTACAGAGGGGGACACAGCTCCCTGGGAGAGCCCAGCACCCCCTGCTTCCATCCCACAGCTCTGTCTGGAGGAGCCGGGGGTGACCCCAGCTGCGTAGGGCAGGAGGGAGCCCAGGGATGCTGTGCTCACACACAGATGCATCCCTGCCAGGTGAAAAGCCCTGGACACCCCCCCAGTGCCCAGTGGCACCTGGCAGCACTTGGGCAGGCTCCTACCTTTCACCTGGAGCTGCACCGCGCTGAGGGTCTGGCCGGCAGTGTTGGACGCGGTGCAGATGTACAGCCCCTGGTCCTGGGGTTTGCAGTACAGCACCTTGAGGATGAAGTAGCCCTCACGGTCCTCATAGATGAGGTGCCTGCGGCCGGGGACGAGGGGCTCACCGTCCTTCTGCCAGATGATCTCCGGCTTGGGCTTGCCAGTGACGTAGCAACGAAATTTGGCGTGCTTTCCCGCGCTCACGGTGAATGCCTTGGCCCCCAGCACCCCGGCCGACACCGTGCCGTTGGGCACCCGGGTGTCTGGTCCCATGTGCCGTCTTGCTACATGCTGCCGCCACCGCTGCTGCCGCTCCGCCAGCGGCTGGGGGCCATCAGCAGGAGAGCCATTGGGAAGCCCCTCCGGCGGTGCCCGGGGTTCAACCAGGAGCACGGCAGCAGCCAGGGCCTCCCGGGAGCCACTGCGTGCCCGGCACACGTACACCCCCCCGTCCGGGGGCCGGGTGCCAAACAGCTTCAGAAAGTGCCAGTCCTCCGGCTCCTTTCCCACCGCAAAGTGGCTGCTCTCAAAGAGGTCCGAGAGCTTGCGCCCGTCCTTCTCCCACTCCAGCACCGGGCAGGGCTGGCCGGACACCCTGCAGGTGAACATCACGTCCTCCCCCCGGCACACCCGCATGGATGAGGGGGCCACAAGGAAGGCGGGGACCTCGCCACCTGAGCATCCATCCTCCTGCAAGGGCTCCCCCGCCTCCACCTTGAGTGCAGCAGCAGCGTAGGTCTCACCAACGCTGTTCTTGGCTTTGCAGATATAGAGCCCGCTGTCTTGAGGGGTGGCGCAGGACACCAGCAGGCTGTACAGGTCCCCCTTGGCCTCCACGTGAAAGTGGTCCGAGGGCTCAATCGGGGTCTTGTCTTTCTCCCAGAGGATGCTCGGCCGGGGGTCGCCCGTGATCTGGCAGCTCAGGACGGCGTCGGAGCCGCTTCGTACCGTGAAGGCACGTGGATAGGCCAGGAACCTGGGGGCTCCCCCAAACCCCTCCATCGCTGCCTTCCCAGGGTCACAGCAGGAGGCTGGCCAGGGCAGCAGAAGGGATCATCAGCCTGGGGGGGGATACACAAACCACCTGGGTGGGGGCTCAGGCTTTGGCAAAGGGACTGGCATGGAGCACTGCTGGGAGGGACTCCCCTTCCCAAAGAGAAGCCCCCGGCACCAAGCCCAAGCTGCAGGACCATCACTCTGAGAACCCCTACCCCACTAGACACACTCTTGTCTCAGCCCAGAACACCCATTTCCCAGCCCAACAGCAGCAGAAGGGGCAACAAAAGGCAACTCATTGCACCCTGAGGGGCCAGAGCACCCAGAGCCCAGGGTGCTGCCCGCCTAAAGATCACAGAGGGGACCCCAGCTCCGGGGGTGGGGGACCCCTGCCTAGATGGGGAGCGGAGGCAGCTGGTGGCTGGGTGCTGGGGACGGGGATGGCGGAGGGAGGATGGCCCCAGCCCGCCCCTTCCCCACCCGCCGGGCATTCCTGCAGTATCGGGTGGTGGCAGAGCCGCATTCCTGCAGCATCTGGGCTGGCTCAGGGGCAGGTGCTGATACGGGGCTGTCGCAGGCAGGAGGCACCCAGCCCCATCCAGGCACTTCTTCCTGGACTCGGAGAGGCAAGAGACACCCCCCCGTACCCACTGGCCACCACCCATGGCGCTGCGATGGGGAAAAGTGGGGCTCCCCCAGGAACAGGTCCCTCTCCAGAGTGTGGTCCCACAGGCAGGATCCAGCCCTCGGGTGTTGGGAGCCATGGCTGGAAATAATCAGCCCCAGGAGCAGAGGGAGAGAGGGGTCCTGCTCTTGGAGGGCTCTGCCTCCATCCCCAGCGCTGTGGGTAACTGTGCCCATGGCCATGGGCAGGAGTGGGGCTGGGTGCTCCATGCCTCCCCTGGGTGAGCGTGCCCAGCCTCTGCCCGCACCGTGGCTGGGGCTGGCACAGAGGCTCTGGCCTCCCTCAGGCAGGGCAGGGGGAAGAGAAACCAAAATACTCCCTGAACGAGACAGAGGAGACAACGGGAGAGGTCCAGTCCCTGAGGGAGAAGGATCAGCTTCTCCTCCCACACCCCTGCCCGGGGACGGTGCATCCATTCAGAGCCACCTCCCCGGCCACTTTCCCAGACACACAGGCCACCCCACGGCAGCACCCGCAGACCCACAGTAGCCCTGAGGGCTCGGCCATCCCCCTGCCCCCTTCAACCACCCCTTTCCCCCACCGCCCTGCCCCATGCAGCCCCACTCCTCTGCCCCACGCACGCACCTCGCTCCGCTGCCTTTCCCCCGCGTCTCCCAGTGCTGGCACCAGCTCCTGCCACTTCCCCCAGCTCCGCTCCCGGGTGTCAGCGCGCGGGGACCAACCGTTACAAACGCCTGCAGCTGCTGTCCCCAAAAATACCCTCTGATGACACACTGGGCTGATAAGACTGAGCTTGCTCCATTCAGCGCCTCGCCGGGGCAGGGCTGGACTATGTATAGCAGCCCGGTGGGAGCCACCCGGCCCGGAGCGGGCAGGCAGCACTTCATCTCCAGGGTCCTGGTGTGCTTGTAAACCCGTGCCAGGTCAGCCAGTGGCAGGAAGCAACACGCCGCATGGCACGGGGTGCATGGAATGGGACACCAGGCTGCAGTAGGACAGGACGTGGTGCACAGGGTGGGATGTGCCGCACCAGATGCCACACAAAACACCAGGCTGCAGGGGATGGGATGTGCCAAACCGGCCACACTGTGTGGGATGTGGGGCTGCAGGAGGAGCGGAGGGGTGTGGGGGCTGCCCACCACCCTCCTGGCAGGGCAGCTGGATGGGGGGATGCCTGGCAGTGTCCCCACAGGCAGCAGGACGCACTGGGTCCCCTCACAGCCTGTGCCCCTCCTGCCCCAGGAGCCAGCCTTTGGCCAGCCAGCCTGAACACCACCATGGCATCCTTCCCCTGGCACTGCTGCAGTGCTCTCAAGCTGGTCAGGCTCTGCCTCCTCTCTTCCTTCTCCTCCTCTTCTCCTGAAGCTGGTCCAGTCTCCCCCAGCCCCAGACAGTGCGGGAACCTCTTGCCATCCTTCCTGCTTCATGTCTCCAGGACTTCGCCAGCCTCCAGGCTGCCCTGGAGATGCCACATCCCCCCATTCTCCAGCCTGCCCTCCCCAGGGCCCTATCCTCACGTCCTGGCTGCCCTGTGACACTGATGTGTCCCAACCATCCCTGGCAGGAGGGTTCCCTGCCTGCCAACCCCCAGCATGCCCCCCCGGCACTGGAGCCTCGCAGGGGGTCCCTGCCCAGATGTCCCTGCTGTGCAGAGCTGCTGCCACCTCCCACTGTCCCTCCAGAAGCCCCAGATCTGCAGCTCCTCCACCATGGGGGGCACCCAGAAGTGGCAGCAGCAAAGCTCACCCCGGTGCCCCTCCATCCCTGCCAGTATAGAATAACATTCCTGGCAGCACCCTGCCTGCAGCCCAGTCTCCTCAGCCCCACGCACCCACTCTCCCCAGTAGCATCCCCTCCCCGGCAAGCGCCATCCCCCCCCAGACCACACTGTCCTTGCAGTCCTCGCATTCCAGACGTCTCAGTGCTTTCGCTGCCCAGAGATAATATTCACAGCGAGCAGACGTTTGCGTCAGTGTCAGATAGGTCTCAATGCCACCCTGTCCCGGGGGGAGCGCAGCGGGCAGACGGGCCGGGCAGGCAGGCAGGAGCCCGCAGCAGAGCCCCCCGAGCCACCAGCCCGCTGCACACCCCATGGTCATGCTGCTCCTCCTGCACCTGCTGCCTGCCATGCTGCCCACTGCCGTCCTGGCAGGCTGCACCGGGGCTGGTGCCGACCGGCAGCTCATCCTGGCCAAGGTACGGGCTCGGGTGCTGGAACATCTGAGCCCACCGCTTCTCCAGGAGGAACCCCAGAAGGAGGCGAGGAGGGTACACCGGAGAGACGTCCTTGAAAACGCCAAAGTGGAGCCCATGGAGCTGGAGGACACCTCCCAGGTGATCCTCTTCCCTTCCACAGGTGAGAACGCCCTGGTGGGATGGAGAGGGCAGAGGGGGGAAGCAGGGTCGGGGCTTGGACAGTGGGGATGCAGCAGGATGGAGGGGTTGCTGGGTGGGGGGCTGCAGGAGAAGAGAAAGAGGGTACACCAGGCTGGGGCATTGGCAAGGTGTGGTGGAGAGCCAGGAGGTGGAAAAGGGTGGCAGACAGGGAGAAGCAGAGCAGCCCAGGACACAGGCAGGGAGGGAGAGGGGCAGGCGGCAAAAGAGAGTGCTGAGTGGCTGAAGAATGGCTGGGCTAGGTGGGATGTGGGGAGATGGGTAGGGTTGAGGAGAAGGCAGGGTGGGACAGGGTGGGATGCTCAGGAATGGGGCAGGATGCTGGGAAAAGGGATGTGATTCTAAGGAACGGGGCAGGATGCCCAGCTACGGGGCAGGACGCTGGGGGACAGGGGCAGCAGAAATGTGGACCACTTAGGTCCACAGCAGGGCTCAGCTGTGGGGTGCAGTGAAGTGCCTCCTGCATAACACTTAGACACCAGCTCCCCTGCACCCTGCCACAGCCCGTGCTGGCAGCTGGGCTCCCTGCCACCACCCTGGGGACCCTCTGCAACACCCCACCTCCCACCTAGCGTCAGGGACCCTCCCTGGGTTTGGGTGCACACCCTGAGCATCTTTCTCCCCCCCACCACAGACGTTCCCTGCGAGCCCATGCAGCCGGACAAGCTGCTGGAGGAAGAAGGGATCTTCACCTACCTCTTCCAGCCCTCGGCGCACACCCTGAGCCGCGCGGTCACCTCTGCCCAGCTCTGGTTTTACACCGGCCCTTCGGCTGCCCCCAACCACTCGACCCCTGATGTGCTGACCCTGTCACCGCAGGGCCGCATGCCGGTGACGGCCACGGTGGTGCGGACGCCCGAGCACTGGACAGTGTTTCACTTCGCCCCCGAGCTGCTGCCCCAGCTCTCGCAGCCGCTCTTCGTCCTCCTGGTGCGCTGCCCCGGCTGCCCTTGCCTGGCCGAGGGGGACAAGATGCCCTTCTTGGTGGCCACCACCCGGGCGAAGGGCAGCGAGAGGGCTCGCCGCTCCGCCGTGCCCTGGTCCCCGGCCGCCCTGAGCCTGCTGCAGCGCCCATCCGAGGACCTGGCTGCCCACACCAACTGCCGCCGGGCTTCCCTCAACATCTCCTTCGAGGAGCTGGGCTGGGACAACTGGATCGTGCATCCCAGCAGCTTCGTTTTCCACTACTGCCACGGGAGCTGCGCCGAGGGCCACGGGCTGAGCCACCGCCTGGGCGTGCAGCTCTGCTGCGCCGCCCTGCCCGGCACCATGCGCTCCCTGCGTGTCCGCACCACCTCCGACGGCGGGTACTCCTTCAAGTACGAGACGGTGCCCAACATCCTGGCCCAGGACTGCACCTGCGTCTAAGGGCATCCCGCAGCCCGCCCCCCGGACAGTGATCCCAACCAGGAGTTGCTCCCCCAGGGGACACCCCCCCCTGCCCTGCGCCGCAGGGACCAGAGGGACCCAACAGCGGGGTTTGGGCTGTGTCACCCTCCCCTGCTCAAGCTGACGTTTGGGGTTGGTACATCACACTGCCAGACCTGCCCCACGGCTGTCCCCAGCCTGGAGGAAGCTGAGGTATGGCAGGTCTGGGACAGGCACAGCCTCGGGCAGAGGCATCGACCCCCTGCTGAAGCCAGCCCGCTGTCTGCAACCAGCTCAGCCCCCCCGTTTCTTCCCACTTGCTCCCCCCACAAATTTCTGCTCCCCCCTCAAATTTCCGCCCTCCCCCCCAAAAAAGGACTGGGTCCCACTCCAGCTGCAGAGTGTAACAGCCTCCCCGTGCCCCACCGGGGATTGGGATGTCCCAGTGTGAGCCCTGAGCCCGTGCCAGGAGCTGGTGGCAGGGCTGGTGGCACTCACAGCGCTGCGAGCGAGCCCTCTCCCGGCGGCACCGCCTGTGGGAAAGCTTAATGGGATGAGTGAAATAAACCTGTTCCTTTTACCAAAACAGCCTGGAAATGCCAGTTTCCATCAGAGGCAGCCACGGAGGCAGCACACAGTTGTGCAGTGGGATGCAAGCTCCTCGGGGGCTTTCGGCCAGAGGAAGGAGGGGACGGGCGAGTGCTGCAAGAGGGGTCTGGCACCGACCGAGGGTCCCAGAGAGGGGATTGGGGTGTCTTGGGCAAAACCAGGACACGGCATGGCTCGGTTTGACCTGGCCCCGGGGCAGGAGAGTGGAGAGCAGGGCAGCATCCCTTCTGCTCCCAGCTGCAGCGGGATGGGGAGGCATGGGGCTGGCAGTGGGATGGGGAGGTGTGGGGGCAGCGGTGGGACAAGGAGGTGTGGGGAAGCCCCTCACAGGGCCCCTTGCTGGCGATGGGACCACGCAGGAATGCCGGTGGAGCAATCCCGCTCCGCCAGGCTGATGGGGGCTGCCCCGGCCGCAGCCGCCTCCTCCGCACGGCAGGAACGACTGAGTCACCCCGGGAGGAGCGGGGAGGTCCCAGGACAAGCCGGCAGCGCTGCCCACCCCAGCTCAGCTGCGCAGGATTCCCTTCCCACCCCTTCCTCCTGAAGGACCGGATGCAGCAATGCAGCAGTTCAGTACAAAACGTCTCCAGCCTTTACTAATATAGATATAAAAAAAAAAAAAATAAAAGAAGAAAACAACAGTGACAATCATTTCCGAGTAAAAAACAACACTACAAAAATCCCTGCGTGACCCAGGCTGAGATGATGAGAAATGCCCTTCTGGCTCCCGGCCGAGCTTGGCTCGGGGTGCTGCGTCCCCCCCCGCAACGTGGGGCTAAGGTCTGGCCCTGCAAGGGGGTCCCAGCCCCACGGCCAGAGCGGGAGGGGATGGGATTTGGTCCAAGGGCGTCTGGCCAGGAGCAGGGCGGAGGCAGCGGGAAGGACAGCCCCTGCCCTCTGCACAGACATTTCCCGGCAGGACAGCCCCACGGCACACACCCCGGTACTGGGATGCTGCGCAGCACGGTCCCCCCAGCTCCCCCAGCACCTTCTGGCAGCGGCGCCACCAGGAGTCCCTCCCTCCTGTCCGGTCCCCACTGTCCCCTGAGCCTCACAAGCAATGCCAGCCCAGCAACCGTGCCCCACGGTTCAGCCCGGCCAGCCGGACCCCCAGGCTCGGCTCCCCAAAACCCCCACGCCATGGGGGCAACACTGGCATCGCCAGCGTGGTCTGCACATGCACAGCACCGGCGGGTGGCAGCGGGCACGGGAGGGCAAAGGGAGGCATGAGGAGAAGATGCTGAGGGAAAGGGGTGCGGGAGGAGGAAAGGGGGGTGAAACGGGAGATGGGGGGGAGGCAGAGGGCCAGAGCAGGGACCGGGAGTGGAGTATAAAAATGCCAGGGTGCACACGCTGATGAGTGTATAAAAATGTACAAAAATAAGATATTCCCTTTTCGAAAATCAAGTAGGAATGTTTCCCGAGGCCCCCATCCCTGCTGCTGCCCGCCGGGACAGGGCTGCCTGGCATGTCACCCTCTGTCCCACGCTCCTGGCAGGCTGCCTGTCCCACGGCGGTGGCAGCAGCCGCTCCGGCAGAGGCCGCCGTCCTCCCTGGTGGCACTCACAGCCCTGCGGGAAGCAAGAAGCAAGTTAGCACCCCCCCCAGGGGAAAGAGCATCCCCTCTCCGGGTAAGCCCAGGGGAAACCTCCCCGTGCCCCCACTCTGCTCGGCCAGATGTGCCCCCCCTCCCCGGCTCACCCGTGGTCCTGTCGCAGGCGGCCGTCCCCTTCTCGTGGGCGAGGTTGAGGCGGTTCTGCTCGGCGGCGATGCCGTTGGCCTCGGGGCTGCTGCTGCGGGCAGGGCTGGGGGGCCGCGGGGGGGGCTGGAGGTGGAAGGCCACCTCCAAGTGCTCCTGGGCCAGGCGCAGGTGTTCCCGCAGCCGGTCCAGCTCGTGGGCCGGGGGAGCCCCGGCCAGGGCGAAGCGACCCGCCACCGCCGCCTGGGCCAGGCTCTCCCGGTAGTCCAGCTTGCCATCGGGCAGCGGGGCTCGCGGCGGCTCCTTCTTCAGCGAGTGGTAGGTGGGGGGCGCGCCGGGAGCTTTCTTGGGGTACTGCGGCGCGGGGCTGTCGCCGGCGGGGAGCGGGGGGCTGTCGGGCTGGCTCAGGGCGTCGCGGATGCGCCCCACGCCGAGGTGCACCAGCTCGCAGAGGTTGAGGAAGAGGCAGAGCCCGCTGACGGCGTACATGATGAGGAGGAAGATGGTCTTCTCGGTGGGGCGGGAGACGAAGCAGTCGACGGTGTGCGGGCAGGGGCTGCGGCTGCAGACGTAGGAGGGGCTCACCTCGAAGCGGTAGAGCAGGTACTGCCCAAAGAGAAAAGCCATCTCCAGCAGCGAGCGGCACAGCAAGTGCAGGACGTAGGCGCGCATCAGCCCGTCCTGCTTGATGCGGCGCCGGCCGTCGTGCTTCTCTCCGCCCTCCGGGCTCTTCTCCTTCTCCACCTCGATCTCCTCGAAGATCATGGGGTCCTCTTCGTTATCGTCCTCCGCCTCCTCGTAGTCCCGCCCGGCCCCTCGGCGCACCACCGGCATGCGTGCCCGCCGGGCGGCCGGTGCCCGGCGCCGTGAGGACTCGGGCATGCGGGCGATGCGGTGCATGGCGAAGCCCAGGTAGAGGACCGACGGGGTTGCCACCATGATGATCTGGAAGATCCAGAAGCGGACGTGGGAGAGCGGGGCGAAGGCGTCGTAGCAGACGTTCTCGCAGCCGGGCTGCTGCGTGTTGCAGACGAACTTGCTCTGCTCGTCGTAGTAGATGGACTCGCCCCCCACGGCCGTCAGCACGATGCGGAAGACGATGAGGACGGTCAGCCAGATCTTGCCCACGAAGGTCGAATGGTTGTTGATCTCCTCCAGGAGCCGCGTCAGGAAGCTCCAGCTCATCCTGGCCAGGCAGTTGGCTCAAACCCTGCGGTGACGGGACAGGCAAACAGGCACTGAGCAAACCAGCATGTGCCTCCCCGGGCAACCCTAACCCACCAGCCGCCACCCCAACTCTGCCACTCTCCCTGTCCCAGCACCAACAGCCCTTCCCTTACCCGCAGGTCCACAAATACAGCCCTGCACAGTCAGCCAGCTCCCCCAGACCACATCCCCTGCCCAGTGGCTCCTCCCCGCGCTCCCATCCGCATCCTGTACCCGCCACCAGCCAGATGGGTGGAGGGGGCCCAGGGAAAGTCTGGGGCGTCCCTGTTCCCCACAGGACGTGTCTGGGGGAAATGCCAGCACAGCCAGGGTAAACACAGCAGCACGGAGCAGCACCAGCTGGGGACTGTGAGGGGACAGGAAGGGGACAGAACCGCCTCCTCCGCTCCCGGCACCGCAGCACTCATTTGCCACCTGCTCCTGGGCAGGTCCCCAACCGGTGCTGCACCCTGTCCCAGCACCCACACCCTCCAGTGGGGGTCCATGGAAGAAGGCAACACATGGCAGCCCCTCTGGCCCACTGCAGCTGCCAGCCCCAAGCCCTGGCCAAGGGGGGTCCTCTGAGCAGTATCCCCCACCACATGGGTCCCCCACGGTCCTCTGCACCCCACAGAGCTCTTCCTCAAGGGTCAGCAGAGATGCAGCATCACTCTGCCCCACCAAACCTCTGTGCTGTGCCCTCCCTCCTGTAGGAACCCCCCCCCCAACCCCCAGTCCTTACAAGCCCCCAAAGCCCGTGGTGGCTGGTGCTCAGAGCACCCCACAGGAAGAGCTGGCGGGGGGTGAGGAGCAGGAGAGTGATGGCAAGGGGCAGCGTCGGGCAGCCAAGGAATTGCACAAATTTCCAGCAAAACAGCTGACACCAGAGGTTGAGGAGGAAATTACAAGGACCACGCCACACTTCCAGCCGATGGAGAAGACACAAGAGACCCCACCACCACCCCTGGTTTCAGCAGCTGGCTGATGCAAGGGCAGCAGGTGGCAGGGCTGCCCAGGCGAGCAGAGGGGACATGTCCCCACAGAGGCCCCAGCTTCCCCTACGCTTCTCCTGCCCCCTGGCCAGCTCTGTCCCATCACCTCTGGCCAGGGCACGTCCCTGCGGACGATGACTCCTGCTGCACTCACGCCACTATTGTCCAGAATAAGAGGATCTTTTTGGCTTGGCTCAGCCTGCTTCCCAAACAACCTCGCCTCAACAGAAAAGCCCCTCCAGCACAAGCACCCTTGTGGGGGACACGCTCTCACTGATAGCCTGGGGGAGGTGGCACAGGCTGGCGCCAGGGACCCAAACCCAGCCGATCATGGGCACCTTGCAAGGTGTCGCTGCTGCCCCATCTCCCTGGTGTGAGGCCCTCTCGCCCACCACCCCGCTGGATGGAGGATGCTTTGTGTCTGCCTTTAGCCCCCTCCTGGCAGCAGCACCACCACCCTGGCCCCAGGGAGAGGGGCTGGGAAGGAGACAAGGTGCGGGCACCAGGCAGGAGAGCAGCCCTAGGTGATGGCAAGTCCAGGGAAAGCAAAAGCACACACGTGGGCACTGCCATGGTGGCCAACACAGGCGACACAGGGACAGAGCTCAGCATGGGTCAGGAGCTGCAGTGGGCACGGCCGAGGCAGCACAGATCTCCCCACACCCCTTTGCCCCCGCCCCGGGGCAGGGGCCCCTCCAGGGCTGGTAGCCAAAGCCCAGCTCTCTGCCCAGGTGGCCAAGCCACCCGCCGCCTCCCGGCCACGCCGTGAGTCAGGACCAGCACCATGTGCCTTGGCTGGGCCCTACACCTACACCCCCCGCCCTACCGATCCCCATAGCCTGGGGCGGCCAGTCCGTCCCCCCCCGTCCCAGCCTGCCCTGCCCAGGGACCCCAATCTCCCCAACCCACATCGGGGTCCCCCTGTGCCACAGCCCACCCCGGAGATGGCCAGCCCCTGCCCGCATGGAGGACCCCCGTCCCGCTGACCCCGGCCAGCCCACGCTGGGTCCCTGCCAGCCTGGGGACACAGTTCCCCCAGCCCCAGCCTTCCCGGGGTCCCCAGCCCCACTGATTCCAGCCCACCGAGGGGAGGGGGGGATCCCGGCCCCGCCATCCCCCCCTGCCCGCGGCCCCCAGCCTCCC